GGCAACGGCCGGTCGAGCAAGAAGCCTAATGCTGGCGGGGTCGTTTCCGCCACTTTTCCCCCCGCTCCACAGAGGGGCGCGCGCCTCCGCCTCTCCCCTACACTAAACACACACATTCACACACACATAGACAAACGCAGGCGCGCGCAAATAGTCGCGAGCTTAGGAAGGCGGCAGGGCAAAGCGAGAATCCCCACCGCGGAGCTTCGGCGTGTGTCCCGGCGAGGGAGGACCCAATTGCCTGCGTTTAGCTGCAGTGCTCCAGGGGCAGAGCCCTGCGCCCAACGTTGGCCCACTGCCGCACCGCGAATCGCCGCTGACAGGTTTGGTAGATAGTGGAAAGGCTTCCCTGTTGTCGCGCGGTGTGTGTGTGTGTGTGTGTGTTGAGTCTCGCATCGCGCCTCCTTCGCTTTGCCTCTTGTCCTCCAGATGACTATTTGCCGGAGCTTTGCCTGAATCTCGTCCCGTTAAGATCGCCTTTCTAAAGGACGCCTCCTTTTCCTAAGCTGCTTTTTTTCCCCTCCGCTGTTCCGATTCGTGTGGTAAGTGGCGGGTGTGCATAGATGGAGGTGTATTTGCTGCAGTGCTCTCTAGCTCTACCTCCCTTCCCTCCTCTTCCTCCTCCTCGCTCTCACCCCTCCGGATCACTTAAGCCTCGCGCCCTTCCTTTGCTGGCCCATTTTCTTCAGGTGCTTTGATTGAAGTCAATGCAGTTCTCTTCTGATTTTGTTCCTCGCAACCCCGCCGAAGCCCCTTGCCCGAAATCCTTTTTGTCCTTGACGGAGGAGGCATGGAACAAGCGCCGGTTTGCTGTGCTGGAACAATACAGAGAAATCCCGCGGAAATAAAATGGTGTGTTTGCTGAGCGGAGGGGGATGTTACTGCTGGTTTCTGTATGCGGGATTACAGCCCATTCCCCAGAGCAAAATATCCTCGGGCTGCAAAGAACAGGGAAGGAAAGCAACTCGCGTAATTCCAGGACATTAAGAAGTGGGGAGGGTGAGACAGATATGCGCGCACACACACACAAACACACACACACACACACACACACACACACACACACACACACACACAGTGTTCTCATCGGCACTTGGTCCCTGTCATTAAAGACAGTTCCTTAACGCGGCTGCACTACTAAGTACAAATATCGGGGGGGGGGGGACTTAACAGACATTGAATGGACGTGTGTGTCTGTGTGTGTGTGTTTGTGTGAGTGAAGGGTGAAGTCAATATTAGAAAGGAAAGCTATTTGATCCAGTAGATTGTGTAGATTTGTAATCGTGCGGTTGTTTTGTTTTTAATCTGAAAAGTTGAAATGTGTTGCAGCTCTTCATGAAGAAAGAACAGGGTACATAATGGAGAATGTAATTGTTTTGACCCTACTTTTGTCAGTTAGTGCAACTTTAACTTGAATATCAGGAGTGTTTAGTAAAAAGCAGAACTGAATCATTATACAGTACAGAACAGCAGTTTTTTGGAATAGTAAACCCTCACATTTTCCTTCTTGTTTCCTGTTTAAAAAAAAAAAATTGTACATAATTTACTATGAAATCATATATCACAATATTTTTCCACTATGTATTAACAATTTCAATGAGATCATTTATCATAAACAATAATAAACCCTCAAAGTGCCACAAAATAAAAACCAGGACTTTATTTCAGGTATTATGAATTTAATGTATAGTACTTGGATCAAAGATATGTTGGTAGAAATCCATGTGCTTTTTGTCAAAAGTATTTATTGTTTTTCATATGAATCATTCTTCCACCAGCATAATTGGCTCCAGGGCAACTGAGGGTCACATTGTACTGGCTGCTTCACAGAGGACCACAGCTGCCAGCTTGGATAGCATACATCACACTTAGGAAAAGAAATGCCTGCCCATATTTTACCTATGTTTGATTCCCTCCTTTCTCTGGAGCCTTGAGGGCAGAGTTGCAAGATTTGGGTTGCAGACATTTAGACAATCACTAAATGACATCAAAGGGACAGAAAACACCAACTCTTTGCTGCCATTTAGTGATCTCTTGGATTTGTGCTGTGGAGACTCAGTAGCTACACTGTTCTGTATGGTAAAAGTAAATACTTCCTAATTAGCATCAACTAGTGGTTACCATATTCATAATCCAAGTCATGTTCTTGGCTCAACTACAAAAGGGGTTTGCCCCTGCCTTCTTCCTGATTTTTTTTATGGTTGAGTTGAAAAAGTTATGGTTAAGTTGATCCTGGTGTCATGCATACGGTACATAGTCATTCCAGGTAAAATGGGAAATCATTTTCTGTTGAATAATTTACAATTATTCTGTTGAATAATTGTAAATGGGATACAAATGTACATTGAAGCAACATGTTTTATTAGTCTTACTATAAGATTGTTTTATTTTTAAGAACCTTTCTTCAGAAAAAGATTGTTGCTTGAAAAATGGGATTAGAGATGTTTTAAAATCTGAATTGCAGTAATAATTTTAACATTAATGTAGAAAGGGGGGTAAGCAAGGCATGTAACAATTTTGTAAAACAAAAATGGGAACTTCCTCTGCTGTGGCAAATTTAAGCGTGCATGTTCATGTACTTCAGAAAAATCAAATTTTAAACTATAGGGATCTAAAATACAATTCCTAAATTGTAGATAAAACAGCCTTTTGAGTTTGTTAATATGATTAGTAGAATTTTAGTGTATCGCCAATTTACACTAGGTATAGTGTGAAAGTATTATTTTCAGTGTATTTATTTGTCAGAATACTAACAAAATGAATAGTTCTTATATGTCCCAACAAGAAATGTGTTTATGTACTTCACAGTTAGTGCATGGGATGAAAATTGTGTTTTGCTCAGGTGAACTATGTCTATTTTATGCTATACTCAAAGGATTGCTCTGTATCACTATATTTTTATTCCATTACTGAAACCCAGAGAAACTTAGTACAACCCATCAACATGATATTTTAAAATGGTAGCAGATAAAATTTCATCTACAGAGCCTATTTTGTATAACTTTTATTAAAATACTATTGAGTTAGAGAAACACCTGCAGGAGATTGTCAAGATCAAACAAAGCATCCTGTCAAAAGCAATAAAATTATTTTTATATAATCAAAATGATTTATCATATAATTTATTGAAAGACAGAAAACTGTTTACTGTGACATGTTCTCTTCCTATTGCATGTAGTGACCAGCTAATAAGCATAACAGCAGCAATACGTATATAAGCAAGAAACTCCTTGTTTCTATTTTTAACAGCTACCATGAGGATTCTTCCTTTGTTACATTTCAATACAACAAAGCCTTCTCCTGTACAATTCATCTATGAGTTAAACTATGATTCTTATTAACCCTAAACAACATGGGTCATGCTGGCTAGAGATTATGGGAACTGTAACCCAAAATGCATTAAGGGCACCAGATTGGAGAAGAGTCATCAAATAAAAGAAAGCTTTGGCAGGTCAGGCAGATGAGTGGATTGAAAAAAGAACATGAACAGTGATTCCTTTTCAGTTTTGTGAAATGGAGTTCATTGTTATTATGGGCACAGTTGAATAAATCCAGCTCTTCACTCACTACTTATTTGATTGGTATAGTCATTCATCTCACATTTGTGACTATGGGCAGCTCATATAATTAATCAACAAAGCAACAAAAAAATAAAAATGGGCATTACAACTCTTCAGCTACTTCAGTACTAGCTTTTGTCTAGTTGTGCAGGCAATCCTCAACTTACAACAGTTCATTTTCAGTTGCTGTTCAAAGTTACGACAACACTGAAAAAATTGTCAGTTATGACCATTTTTCATACGATCATTGCATGGTCACATGATCAAAATTCAGATGCTTGGCAACTAACTCATATTTATAATGGTTGCAGTGTCTGGGGGATCATGTGATCACTTTTTGTAATCTTCTGACAAGTAAAGTCAATGGGGAAGCCAGATTCACTTAACAACTAAGTTACTAACTTAAGAACTGCAGAGATTCACTTAATAATTGTGGCAAGAAAGGTCATAAAATGGGACAAAATTGACTAAATGACTGACTCACTTAACAGAAATTTTGGACTCAATTGTGGTTTTAAATCGAAGACTACTTGTACTAGACACAAGCTAGTATTATGTGCTACATTGTTATCCCAACTCTAGCTCTTTGAGTATATATTATTTATTTAATTAGTTAAGTGTTCAAATGCTAGCCTCTAGAAATATAAAGCTACTTAATATATAGTTTTATATGCTTTAAGTGGTGGGAATGAAGCTGGAGAAAAGGAACAATAATAATAATTATTATTATTAATCAGTTATTATTGGACTCCAATTCTCTTGAGCCCCATCATATCTGACCAATAGTTAAGAAAGATGAAAAAATATCAACAACACATGGAGTTCTGTAGATCTTTCATTCCGTATGTATTGTACACATTATATTCTAGAAAAATGTTGATCAACTAGATCTCTATATGTTAATCCAACTCCAGGTTTTTGTACTCTTTGGTTTTACTATGTTAGGAGACTGATCACTAAGTTGTTTTAGGAGCTACAAGCTAGAATAAAATGGCAAATGTCAATGAAAGTGGTAGTTCTTCCTCTTTTAAGCTTCTTCCTTAAGGCCACCTTTGCCCAGTGAATTAAAACAGAAAAGTGGTAGCTAGTGAGGCTAGAAGAAATAGGATCTTAATCCAGCAGCAGCAAGCAGTTAAGGTTCTGCTTCCATCAGGAGCTCTAGAAAAATGTGTGAGACATGAGGATAGAGCATTTATTTCATAAAACCTGCCCTGCAATGGTATTGTAGCTTTATTTTTATATTGGAAATGCAAAAAGTAAAAAGACAACATCCATCACAGAGTTTAATGCTCTGTTTGACAATGGCAGAAAAACACTAGTCCAGTCGCTAAACTCAGGGAGATGATAATTCATGCTGATAACAGACACCATATCAGTAGCAGTGCTCACTGAAAGATAAGCCTTCATTAAATATGAAAGGAAAAGCAAAAACAATGGGGGTTACTATAATAGTATTATTTAAATATTTATTGGTATCAGTGCTTTTAATTGACAGACCGCTTCAGAGGACCTACTGTAGGTTTTAGCTCTCGCAGCACATGAGGTAGTGCTTTGCTGCACAGCATGGTGTTAATTCTTTCTGCAAGTTGCCTGAAGACTGCACAGATTGTTGCTACAGAAATAATTAAAAAACTATGTTTTACATTCAGTGAGCAAATTGAAATCACTGTAAATAAATAGCATAATGTCAAGTTTTACTTTAAAAATCAATTTATATTGGTTCATAGTTTAGAATCAGAATTCTAAAGACACTGAAGAACAACCAATTGATCCTTGTGGGACTTGCTTTTTAAGTGAACACGCTTAAAATGCCCTTGTAATAATTGTGGGATTTGTGTTGATGTTGTCTTCATAGATAAAGCTTTAGTGGTATTTTAGTATAAGCAATTATTTTTGCACTTTAACAGCATTATGCATTTTCAAACTAAACTGTTTGCTTTTTTGAACTGAAATGACGTTATAAACAGTCAGACTTCATATCTTCAGGCTCTGTCAGATCAGTCCAATTCAGCTTGATTCACCATACATACAAAGTAAGATTTGGAAATGAAAGTTTTCATCTCCTATTGGCCATCATAATAAATTCATAAAAGGCTGATATTTATTAGACCCTAATGACATTTATCTACCAAATGTCAAAGACGTATGCATGGGTATTTGGGTGAAAGGCTTTTCCACATTTGGACTTATTTTTAAGAGAAAACATTCGAACTTGTGTCCAACCCTATATAGTTTTTGTATATTATATATTTCTTTCTTCCATTCAATTCTAACTGATTTTCAGAGACTGCTGTACAAGTCTCTGCAGTTTTCTTGGCAAGGTTTTTAAAAGTGGTTTGCCATTGCCTCCTTCCAGGGCTGAGAGAAAGTGACTGGCCCAAGGGATTCTCCATAGAGAGTTTGTGACTGTAAAAATTGATCTTGGTGGCCACATGCAGCCCATTAGCTACATGTGTGTTGTCCATTCCTGCAAAAGAGTTTTGAGGAAATACCTAATTATGCAATTTTTTTCATTTGGAGGGATTGAAATACTGCTGGTCCATAATTATCAGAAGTCAATCAACTCAAATAATAATATTGGGGCTTCGTCTAAGAAAGATGAAAAACAAAACTTTTTAAAGGTTTTAGTTTAGATCACGGGTGTCAAACTCGCATCATCATGACGGCACCATGTGATGTATTGCAACTTTTTCCCTCTTCGCCAAACCCGGCATGGGCATGGCCAGTGTGTGACGTATCCAGCCCACGGGCTGCGAGTTTGATAGCCCTGATTTAGATCATAGATGTAAGTTTTTATAATACTAGTTGAGATGTATAGTGAGAGGGAAGGCTGCTATTTATTATCCAAATAAGGAAACATAACTACTTATGTTTATGTGACTTTTTCAATCAACAAGCAGTGTAGACATCAGCAAAAGAGAAAGTGAAGCAAGTGTGAATTTCAGAGAGTTGGCTTACATTTCTTTGTGGAAGAAAAAATTGTGGGATGCCCAAGAGGAATGTAGTTTGGTATTGGAGATTGCAATTATTCAATAAAACATACAGGATTAAGGTTTTGCAAATAACCTCTCTTCTTTGGCCGTATTCTTAGGCTGGCCTAACATGAATATGAATTTTAAATTGGTGTATGTTAGTTTTAACTTGCGGGCCAAATTTTTGTATATCCGATTTTAATGGTTTTTTAAATTTTGTAAATTATATGTGTTTTAATATGGCTGTACACCACCCTGAGTCCTTCAGGAGAAGGGCGGTATAGAAATCTAATAAAAGTAAAGTAAAGTAAGTAAAGTATTCCCAAAGGTCAAATCCATGCAGATGCATTCAGCCCAATATGACACAAATGCAGCATGGAAATTAAGGATGTAGCCAACAATTCTAGTCTGTTTGCATCTTCAGTGAACATACGTAGGTATTTTTCTTGGAAAGCAAATAGTTGTGGTATCAAAATAATCAGGCCCTTAGCATATGTAGCAACAGCAGCTATGTGTTTTGATTTTGGAGACAGAAAGTCAGGAAATCAGCTCAAATATTTCTGATAGGCTTAGTGCTAAAAATTTTAAATAAGATTACTTGTTTTATAAAATATTGCTAGCAGCTAATATGTGCATTTTTAGTATTTATTATTTGTAATCAGTATAGGTTCTTTTAATTGGTACTTTGGTCTCCATCAGTGGTGGGTTGCTCCCAGTTCTGTCCGGTTCTTGAGATCCAGTAGTAAAAGCGGCGGGAAGCTCTGCCCACCCGCCGGACTTCATTAAGTACGATCTGCGCATGTGCAGAAGTTTCTGCACATCCATAGAAGTGTGAGCGCGCGCAAGTGCTCCCGTTGCGAACCAGTAGTAAAGGTAAGTAGAACCTACCCCTAGTCTCCATGATTATTTTACAGTATTTGAATTAAGGCAAATTGTAAGTATTACAGAAATGCAAAAATACTGTTTTTGCATCCTGAGTGTAAGGATGACAAAATTCAAATTCTTTTAAAGAAATCAGCTTCTAGAAGTTCTATTGCACAGATTTAGTGCAGCCCAATAGCATCATAAATACTTATTTATTTTAGTCCTTTGTACTGGTCTCTGAACAAAAAATTCCTTGAGGTTCTAATGTAATGTTAACTTATAATGTCACTTTTTCCTCTTTCTTCATCCATAGTGTAATTGGGGAGAACAGTATACAATATTGCAGTATCTTTTCCAAATAATTACACAACTCTTTTGATTAAGTGGATGTTCATATAAGTTTGGCATAATACGAAATGACTTATTTTGGATACTTGGGTATAATATCAGGTAATTCTAAACCTTTGCTTAAAATGTTAAGTGATTTTGGAAAAAAAAACTAAAAATGGAGTACAGAACTAATATGCATAAGACTTAGCACTTCAATCCTGTTCAAGATTATTTGTAATTCCCATGGAACATATGAGACTTAATTGTGATCCAAAAGCACACATGCATGTTATGGAAACTAAACTCTTTACTTATTTCATAAATGCAGAATTTTTATCCAATATCTGATTGGAATTACTTCAACTGAAATAAATCCTTAGAGGATATATATTGCATATATTGCAATATAATAAAAATTAATGATATAAACTTTTGAATAAATTATGAAGAAAATCAACTGCTGTTATAGAATCTTGGCATCATCTTGTATAATGACAATTTTGCAAATGGCATCTGTTTTTTAAATCTTTATGATTTAAGGAGCCAAGATTTTTTTTTGCTTAATTGACTGAATTTTAGCCAAAATCTAGTTACTTTCAATGGTCTTAAACAAGCTGAAATGCTATGTTTCTTATGAGATTACTGTTTTAATTTGATAGCCTTCAGTATGAAGCAAATATAAAATCTTATTTCTGATATTACGGTTTGCTTCTGATTGTGTTAAATTTGAACATAAACTGAGTTCTATATTTAATACTGAAGGTTAATTCAGTAACCTTTTGGTTCTAAGTACTGTAAAAATATTGGGGAAGTACATCTGAACCCTGTGTTAATACGTCTGCTTTGTTCTTCCTTAATGTCAAAGATGAAACATTTCTGGACAGTATCTAGAAACTCTTTACTAGGCTCCTTATAATGATTTTGGAGGTACAGAGGCCAGATTTTCAATTATAGCCTCCACCCGCACCCCAGCATCTAATGCTTAAACTGTTGTACACTCATTTCTTTCAGCAAAAGTTGACATGGGTCCCAAATACCTGTTCAACTGGGAAAGTTTGACCATATCAAAAAATAAATACAACTTGTTACTGCTAGTGAAGGTTTTTAGAGGGGAACTAAAGAAGCAACTTTGAAACAGCTGTTACTGAACATTGTAGACAAAGGCATTTCCCATTATTTCCCATCCGTTTTTTGTATTTGTTTCCCAAAGCCTATTAATATTACTCGGAAGTCCTCAGTGATAAATGCTGGTACTAGAGATAAATGACTAACAAAATTATTTGTGGGGGAGGAGCTAAAAGACTTGATTTGGAGACCAAATTTCTTTTTAGGAAAGTTAAATTCTTTAACTTTGCTTTTATGTAGCAAACATATTCTAGAGTTTACACTACAATTTTCATGAATTTTTTTCCTCAGAGTAGCTATTATGATTATTGTTGTTGTGATGATAAGACTATTGTACAACTGAAATTTGGGGGTGTGCTCAAACAGGACTCTACGGGTTACAAAACTAAACATAACTTAAATAATATTTACTGTTTAAGATATTTTTAGAAACTAACTTATCTGAGTATAATTTTGACAAGATTTCAATATGTAAAAGGGGCAAAATAACATTTATGGACAACATTGCTATGAATGGGCAACGTCTGTAAAATATAACAATATTCTCTGAGATTGGAAAAATAGGAAATCCTGCTAGATTTATTTACAAATTATTTTATTAGTAGACTAAATAATTGTACAGGAGAATAATAATGCTTATAAGTTAACTCATAAGTTGGAAATATAACTTATAAGTTGGAAATGCTGACAAATGCAAATTCAGATAATAAAATTTGGTTGTTGAAAATGGGAGAAACTGAAAAATTCTCTGAAAGTATTTTAATTTAAAATTTCAGAGTATAAGTGTGCTTCGATGTCTTCTACCCAGCCTCTGGAAAATTATGGTATATACGGTATTCATTTCCCCAATTTTTGAATCAATTTTACTTTTCAAGACAGCTAACAATAAATGAATGGAGTCATAGTCTAATCCTGAGAGAGTATATTCCAGATCTCAGGAATGGTAATCGTACCTGCGCAAATGGAGGATTCCATATCTGTGCAGGACCTTGCGGATTCCCCAGTTTCAGCTGACCAGGCCTCTGTTTCCGAGGCCGATGAGGTGCCAGACTCAGCTCTCTCTGACGATGAGGGTCTGGTCCCTGACCAACCTCCATTTATTGGCCTTTTTCGGCCTCAAGTCTTTCGTTCCTTACTGCATAAAGCCATAGCGACTGATCATTTAGGAACTGTTGCCGCTGATCCTACATCGACCACCTCTTCGGATCCTGCTTCTGCCATTTTTGCAGAGCCCACCGTTGACCCAGAGACCATTCCTGCTCCCAAGCTGTTTCTGGATGTGCTTCACCGTCAGTGGGCTATCCCGGGGGCAGGACCCAGC